CGAGTGTGAGTGCTGTGTTCACACCTGCCCAAACATACCACACTTAGGGAGCAATGAGCCTGAGCTTGGTGCAGACTAATACTGAATGATATTCAAGTGCTGCATGGACGAAGACAGATGGAATTTGGAGTGACCTATTGTTGCATCTCCCTGACAAAGGCGCTACAACTAGTGCTTCCACCAGGGTGTCATATTTCCATTGCTGCCATTTTAAGCCAAAGCTGGAGCCAATTTAAAAACCCGTGACAACAGCAGAGTCATTTGACCTGGGAGTGAATGCAGATTGTGACTTTTCCCATTAAATAAAAAAGCCAGATGTTGGTGGGTGTTTGTGGGTTTTTAGTGCAGTAGGAAAAGGGTTTGACCGAAACTTTACTCAGACTTTGGTGAGCTGTCCGGGATGTCGGGGACTTTTTATGCGTCCAGGCCCAGGGGCCCATTGTGACATAATCCATCTATGACTATGATTACATTTGCAAATGATTATGTTGGACAGCGGTGCATGGTTGCCTGTCATGGCATAGCAAATTGCACATTTGAATATTAAGGTGGGGGTGTTTCCCCCCCAAATCTATATAATAATCACTGCCTTGTCCAAGCGATCCAAGGCAGAGAAATAGATTTTCACCAGCAGCACACTTTGGCTCAGACACCTCAGCTGCACCTTCATTACAGTTGATAAAACAGCTTGTCACATCGGACCAAAGAACAGTGTGTTCTTGACCTTTTCCTGGAAATTTCACAGTGTTCTTGACAACAGGGTCTGGATGTTATGATAGGATGTCTTAAAGTTTTTGCAGCAGGTTGCTGAAAGGTGGCGAAGTCAGCGCAGAAACAAAGGGAGGAGGAAGAGAGACGGAAAGTGAGAAATCGAAGCAGACAGCAGGAGAGGCAGAGCGGAGTAAGGAGCACAAGACTATGTGAGACAGAGTTTGCTTGGCGGAGCTCCCTGAAGCGCTGCACATTCCCGCAAGATTAATTGAAGCCGTTTCTGTTTTTTGTTTTTTCAGTCTGTGAATTACCTCCAGATTATAGAGAAACAGCTGTTCGCCCACTTCCCCCGGACTCTGCCTGCGTGATTATGCATCGAGTGACAACCAAGACAAACATCCAGCGCTCGCTCGAGCTGCTCCGACGAGGCCGTCACGCCTTATTGATGTTCTTCCCATTTCACAACTTGTCACTCATTTGCATAGCGATTAATAAAACAAATCAGACATGATAATTACAACGACAAAGAAATATTTATTAAATCTTTTTTTGTTGTTTGTTTTAGTTAGTCATAGCTGCTCCAACACGTGTATTTACAAAGAAATTGCCTTTTTGTAGAAAATTCTAGTGAGGGACTGAGCAGGAAACAGACATTAGAATAGTTTAGATGAGTACAGGTCAGGAGAGGATGGGGCTCATACAGGCACAAGGTACACTTATTACAATGTCAAAAGAAATGTGCAGTTTTGTGGCACATCCACGTCTAGTTTGAGAACACAGTTGCTGCTAACTAAAACCTTCCCAATGCTAGATGCACTGACAAAAGCACACATCCTTTTTTTTTCTGAAGATAGAGGATGGAAAACAGACGCTGCAAACCAGGGACACAGTGGTGTTGGCTTCAGGCTACATGGTATCAAAATCAGGTGAAGAAGAAGTCCTTAGAACATTTGACCCGCCCTCCTCGTAGCACAGTTTGCTCAATAGAACATGAAACATCACAATCCGAGGTGGAAAACAGACTTCCTCCTGCCGCAACACATTGAGCTTTTACACCAATAAAAGCCAATGGTGTCTCCTGTTTCATGCAACACCGCCGTCACGGCGATCTGAACAGCAGCTTGGCTCGGAAACAGCTGGAGGTGAAGATTAGCGAAAGACCACAAACGGACACAAAGAACATCCTGCACCTTTTTTAAAGACACTTTTGATGCAACAATACAATGAACAAGAGCGGGTTTTGGGGGGAAAAACAGATATTCTAGCTCTTGGAGATCCATCTGTTCTGTCTTCAGACCCTTTGATCTGTGATTGTAACCCGACCACACTGCATGATATGTGCCATGTCTGCACAAACACATTTACAGAGAGAGGGTGCAATGTTGATCCTGTTATTATTTTTTTGTTTCATATAAAAGACATATAAAATGAAACGAAGCTTTTTTTTTTTTTTTATATCAAACATTGAACTTTTTTTTCTTGCTAAGAACATTAATGTGCCCTTCAAAAGGTGTGAAAAAAGAGAAAGTATCTAACACTGTATGTTACAACAGACTAATTGCTGGATACACAGTATCCACAAAACTAACTGATTGGTTTTTCTCATCGTGGTGTGGCTAGAGGCAACGGTTACAGTGACAGTGGGCTCTTAATGTTGAACTGAAACGCGTGGAGGCTGGTAGGTGTGAGGAGGAAAAGATTTTCAATTAAGTGGTCATTTGTGCCCTCGAATGAAAAACGATTCCCGCGCTGAATCATTCGCTTGCAAAACTGAGTAATTTTTATAATTCCTCCCCTCAAATTAAAAACGTATGGACCAAAATTTCCTCAGACTAATAGCGCTGTGTTATCGCCTTCAGTTCTTTTCTCCCCGCCACTCTCAGCTCACATTTAATGACATTTCTTTTTAGCTCTCGCACTCATATGTGGATTTTGGCTTCGGTCTGTGAAACAGAAAAGAGGAAATGAAGTAATCTGAGATTATTTATCGCGCTAAGCTACACGTTTTGTTACTTGCTCACGCCCCCCATTGCCCCGAAAAAGGCACATTCTGTATCAACAAAAGTAGGCAGGTGGCATTTTGCTGCACTCCCCGATTTTGTTTTTATACTGCCAATGCTGAAAAAAAGACTGATTGGGCTTTCCTGCAAATTTCCACAATTACTGTTTTTAAAAAGGGCTTTGGTGTTTTGTTTCTGAAATCTGAGTGTTTTTGCAGCACATTGTGACGTTTTCCAGCTGTGTCTTGGCACCGAACCAGGGTGATTTGCACTGGACCTGGGTGTTTTTAGCGACACCTTGCAGCGTTTGTCAGTGGCGTTTCAGCCACTGATTTTCACTGACCTTTTCCAGTGGCTTTTGTGCTACCAAACATGGGTGTCAAGTCAAAACGTGACCTTTTCATAGCCATAACCAAGTGGTTTTTGTGCCTGTACCTCACCAAAACTTCACCACAGCGTTGTTAAGACATGTAAGGTGTCGACATTTGTAATGTAACGTATCTGTAGTTTGTAGAAACGTACAAGACGAACATTTTTTCTGGCATTTTTTTCAACAGAATTAATGAATGTAAAAAATCCCAGCGTTTTAGGTGGTGAAGGTACGAAGTAATGCTACTAATATGAAAGACAGAAATATCAGTTCAGTATTTGATGGAATAATAAACTGAGATCATAGATTACATTGATCTGATCTCACATAGACTTTAGTTTACTCATCACAGAGAGAACTACTCAGCCTGTGAAGATGACAATTTAATAACTTTTATTGTGCTGTACCAGTGAGCAGGCACTACAGGTCTCCTTCAGCAGTAAAACCAGCAGGAATGGTTTCATCTCTTTGCATGAATGTAAAGGCTATCACTGTTGCTGAGAGTGACGGGTGGAAAACAGGGTTGGGCAGCAGTCTGTATTTTCTTATCGTCATATTGTCATTACCAGAGATTGCAGATAGCCGATGCGATTGCCTCGGGCGACAGACGGAGGGAGGGGCTCGAACTTTTCCCTGCGATCGCTCATTGTAAATGTCAGTATAGCCGATCTCACAGCTCAGCTGCTGTCATTAGTCAGACATTAGTCAGACAATGTAGTGATAAAATAATAACAGCCTGGTGATGCTGCTGGATAAGGTAGCATTTAGGAGCCGTGATCAAATTTCACACTACTTCTGACAACGGAGAAACATGTAAATGACAGCTAGATTGTGAATTTGGCTGCATTACATAGCCTATGATCACTTCTCAAACAGGAAGAAGCAGCTTGGCTGTGTAATAGTCTTGGAACAAATGAAATGCATGATTAGAAACTAATTTAAAGTCAACTGTCAGTAACTAGAGGCATTTATATATATATTCACAAGTGGATTTGACGCTTCAAAGATGCAAGAGAGAGGGCCCTGGTTACATGTGACGCACAGGCCTTGGATGTTGGTGAGCGGCTGAAATGGAGAATGGAGATGCAGGGTTTTATCAGATTGCACAGCGCACTTGCAACGATTGGCAGATGATAAGGGATCACAAAAACAGGTTGCTTTAAATTAGAGAGTAGAGTGACGTTTGCTGATTAAAAGTGATCAGCAGCAAACATGCAACTCCTCCAGAAACTCCTGAATGCAGATTTTGGACTTTTATTTGCTTGTAAAATTTCCTAAATATTGGCAGGGGGCAAAAACAATTGCTCTTCAATCATCGATAGTCGAGCTGGTTCGGCACAAGCCTAGTGGAAAAGATATGTTTACCGCATGTTCCTGCTTGGACAACATGACTACTGATCTCAGCAGGAGCACTACAAAGCTCCTCATCTCGCTCTCCTTCTCTTTCCCTCTCAGCTCAACCAGTGCTGAGTTTCAGAGTTTGCCCCGAGAGAACAGGACACCTCGCTCTGTTTATTCCATCTCTGCTGGTGGTCGATTTTTCATTCCAGAAATAACCGGTACGAGAGCGCCCCCGGTGTATTTTATGTACAGACGCCACTTTACACGACATCAAAGAGGGCAAGTGACTCACACACCACCAACACCAACCCTCCTCCTGCCCCCCCCCCCACACACACACACCACCACCACTGACTGCTCTGAAACTCGGCCACTGTCTCACCGAAACATCTTTAGCCACAGAAAACTTGTGCTGCTTTACTCGAGGAGGAGTAACCCTCTTGATTTAAAAAAAACATTTTTCTTTACCTCATGTTAGGCATGGACACATCCCTGAACTTTTGTAGGAAATTTTGTCTCTATATACAATAGCTGTGTTATGACAGTGATTCACAAAAGCAATAGTGTAATAGTAAAACTACATTTGTGACTTTTTTTTTAATGACAAACACAAATATTCTACGACTTCTACACCCTGATAGCACATCAGACTTTTTTTTTTTTTTCTTCCCGGACTTTGTTAAAAACAATTAAAAGACCATCAGCAATCAATCCAAACAAATACATAAACTGTACTCGGTGTTTCTGTATGATTGTATCAAAAAAAACTGTAGTATGAACTAACTTAATGGGTAAGTGTTTGTTTTATTGCCTTTCTACTGTACTTACAGCCTAAACCGGAACAGAAAAAAGCACGAGGACTTCACAATAAATAGGAAAATACATTTTGCCTGGCAAAATACCAAAATCCACTTCTACGCTCCGTTCAAATATTTTACTGTACACCCGTGTTGGCTGCTACAATTGAATTAGGTGACTTATTAAAAAACAAACATTAATTATTAAACCGTCCCTATCCAAACACTAAAAGATGAGTGCTTCTTTAACGTTTCTTTTTTTAAAACTCTCCTCCACAGTCTGAGACGATGCATCCGACTCCTTTTTAACCTGAGAGGAAGGTTAAGTCATCAAAGGCCCGCCCCGTACCCCCACGCCATCGGCAACCGTCTCCTAGCAACAACATCCTTCTCGTTTTCCTCTCTGTTGGCCTATAAGCGATGCGTCGCTCCCGGATCTTCTCGGAAACCTCTTCCACTTTGACGTGAGATTAAATCATGTTATATGTCGGGGGTTATGTGATGTTTTCCTGAACACAAAAAAAATGTTAAAAGTCTGTAAACTTTTGAGAGATCCTGCTGTGCTTCTTTGCCATTCAAGCCGACGAGCGTACTGATTGTGTAGTTTGTGTTCTGTGTGTGTGTGTGTGTGTGTGTGTGTGTGTGTGTGTGTGTGTGTGTGTGTGTGTGTGTATGTTTGAAAGCATGTATGTGTGCATGTCTTTAACACAAATAAATGTTTAATATCTGCATACTGTGAACGGTAGCGAGGCAAACAGGTAAGAGACTCTTTCATCTCGGGGTGCCGCGACAATCGGCACCCACTAGAAAGTCAAGAATCACTCAGGTTGGCAATTCAAAAAACAACAAAGGCTTCAGTGTTGAAGTCCCGTCCTCTCTCTTTTCACCAAGAGAGATTGTCAGTATTTTCTTTTTCTTTTTTAAAAAGTGCTCCTTGAGGGGAGGGGTTGCAGGGTAGGGCGGCCTGTGGTCCAATCAGGGCAGTCCATTCCTAGGGGGAATCCTCAGACTGGGCGCTATAAAGACAAGATGGCAGCCAGGAGTATGAGGGCAGAGCTGAGCAGGGCGACTGAAGTCTGGCGTCGACCGGCGGAGTTAACATCCCTTCGAGCCGGCTCTGGCGACTCATGACCGATGCCGTCTGAAGGGAAAGAGATGAAAATGATTGATGGTTACATTAGCTTAGCAGAGACACTGGAAACGGCAACAAATGGAGGTCGTGTTCTCACAATGAAGAAGACACTTTTGATTAAAAGTCCAACATAAATCTGCAGACTACATTGAATTTAAAGCCTATCCCAGCTGTCACTGGGCGAGAGGCGGGGTACACCCTGGACAGGTCACCAGACTATCACAGGGCTGACACATAGAGACAGACAACCATTCACACTCACATTCACACCTACGGACAATTTAGAGTCACCAATTAACCTGCATGTCTTTGGACTGTGGGAGGAAGCCGGAGTACCCGGAGAAAACCCACGTTGACACAGGGAGGACATGCAAACTCTGCACAGAAAGACTCCCCTACCCACGATTCAAACCAGGAACCATCTTGCTGTGAGGCGACAGTGCTAACCATGACACTGTGCAGACCCTGCCCATTTTTGGGGGCAAAAATCTTTTTCATAGCACTTTTACATTAAGCCTAAATAATCAGAGACTGATTTCACTTTCACACTGTGCTACATTCCTGTTAATGTATAAGTCTTCATCATCAAATCTGCATCAAAATAAGAGTGGTCCTTATTAACAGTGCATCTCCTAAAAGCAAAAAAATGAATACAATTCTACTCAAAATTTGGGCTGACTAAAAATCAAATGCTATTAGAGAATGGAACCAAAAACTGTTTACTGGACACATATCTTTGACCAAATGGAATGTGATTTCATTGGTTATTTTGGTCTGTCTTGGCTGGTATGGATGTCTGAGTTAATGCTGGACAAAGACAAGGACTCAGCGAGGTCATATCACAGTTAATCATGTTAATTTAATTGTGGCAAGCCAGCATCGAGATCATGATTAATATTTGTTTATCTGTGCGGCCCTTTTTCTCAAACGCCTCTGGTTTGGACTTTGTGTTATTGTGTGACTAAAAATCAAGGTAGTGAAGCTGTACACCAGCAGCTCCTGTGTTCATCGAGGTAAAATTAACGTTTTTGTCAATGGAGTCTGGTTTTGACAAGAACATTACGTTCACTTCCTCGTCAGAAAGGGCTGTCTGTTTGGGAAGAACTGAACATACGACTGAATAAATAAGACTTGGATTGTACTGCACGAGTTGTGTGAGAGTTTGTTAACAGATGTTCTGATATAGTTTTGCTGTTGTTGAACGTGGACCCCTATGACTTTAATTTATTCATCAATTTCTCCATTTTTGGATTCTATGTAACTGTGGAGGCATGCAAAAAAGTTTTCCTTACAATTCAACTAAACACTTGGTGAATAATTGATATACAAACGGTCATTTGAGGTGTGAAGAGCTCCTTTAACTGAGTTATTGTGTCTGCATATAAAAATGACTGTTAAACACTTCAGAGTTCATAATTACAAGATAGTTTACAGTACGTGCTCTATACTAAGTGTCATATCAATTCATAAATCATGGCGTATAAAATAAAAACACTCAAAAGGAAATGAAAAGAGAAGAATTTTATCAGCAGACATAACACAAACATCATGTGCTGTATATTCCCACCAACCTCTGGGTTCTAGAGAGTTGTGACTGTTGTCCTCAAAATCGACCCCTTCCTGCACGGTCCCAGAGTTTTTCACACAATTGTCTTTGCAAAACAAAGAGGAGAAAAGATATGTGAAGATTAGAGAAGTCGAACGTCACTCGTCCACAGCCTGACCACAAGCTGGTGCACAACAGAATGGAGAACTGGGCAGAGTGGACTCAACAATCTGAGACTCACTTTGAGGCCTGACGAAGACTTTGAGTCGAAGGCAGCTCCTTCTTCCCTTGTCGTCAGTGATGGAGGCTGTGGAGACATCGTGCAGAGTTAAGAACAAGACACTTTTTATGTGTTACCTACACTTTCCAATTTCAAAATACCTTTTGTTTTATATAATCTAAGGCTGCATGATTATGGTTTAAAATAACAGCGGTCATATTTTGCTCAGTAATGAGATCATGGTGAGTCATCAAGTTTTTACTCAATCTCTGGAAACCAGACGGTTTGTTAAAGCAAAAGAAATTACATTTTAATTTGACAAGATTTTACTTATCCATATTTTACTTTATAAACATACAATAGCCTGTAAAGGACATCGATTTAAATGTATAAACCTCAGGACACAAATCTGACACTCCAAAGTATCAGTATCCCCACATCACCTTTAGTTTTTGTACGGCTCATTAGCATTTGAGAACTTTGGCTACTTTTGTTGATGAATATAAAGTAAGAAAAAAAAAAGAAAGTATCAAACGGTGTTTTTGTATTGAGACCAAAAACTTTTCATGATACTCTTCTTGCCAGGATTATCATATAAAAATGACACCCAGCCCTACCAATATATATATACTATGACATATCAAAATATTTCTGGATATTTTTCCATCCAGTTTAGCATGCAATCAGATTGTCTGTTAATACCTTAACTAAATAATCAAATCAATGCTGTACCTATGGCATAGGCTCTGCATCTATGTAGAGCCTATGCCGTACCCTATGCTGTAGCTTGACATGCACCTCCCCAGAAAGGTAACTACACCTTGCAGTGAAGCAGACCTCCTGTCTATTTTTGTAAGCTGAAACCATTTCCCTCAGTGGAAAAAAAGCTTTTTGCTAGGCTAATTTATATAATGTAAAATGCCATAGGCTTGCGCTAAAAATATTAGCATGTTGTATTTGTGGGCAAAATGTATCCAGCAAAAGACAAATGCTTCGTCTCTCTGTTAAGCCACGTTCAGTGTGTGTTTAATGTGTGTTTTGAATCAATTAAACTTTACAGCACTTCACAGAAACCCGGCCCCTAGCTAGTGTTTTGGAGGTGTAACTGCAGAGTGACACAGACACACCACCGCACAAGTATAAATGCTCACAAGGGTGTAGGCCACATGCATAAGCTACAGCATAAGCTTTGCATAGAGCTGACACACAAGTATAAATCCTGCTTAAGATGAAATTTACGTTTCAACAATGCTGTGGATCATATGGTTAGATTTGGGCACAAAAACCACTTGGTTATAATTAGGAAAATATCCAGTTTTGGCAGCACAATGCCTACTGGAAATGCAGTGATGTCTCTGTAAAATGAAGCCACTTTTTGTGGCACTATCCCCAGTGGAAAAATAGCAATGGGTTGCTTAGAAAAACACATTTGGTGGCTAAAAATTTGCTGGAAACACAGTGATGACATGTCAAAAAGTGACCGGTCTCAAACAGCTTGGTGGGCATTTCGCATCAGTTTCATGCCATCCACTGTCCCCTCCACCTTCTATTGACAAAGTCAGCTCATACTCTGTCATTGTATGAACGTATATATTCAATGTTTCTGTGGTTTGCTGAAACATAAAATTCCAACATTTTCTTCTGGCGACTGGACTGTTTGGACCTAATTTGACTGCAAAAGTTTCCTTTCCATTTAACAACCATAAATTTATAATGTCAGTCTTGTAAGATGGCACGCTGCATGTTGGACCTTGACCAATCATAAACTGTCCCTCTGCCAAGTCGAGGCAAGACTTTGACTCAGTATTCATGTCTTCACCCAAGACCTCCTCACTCTGTAAAATCTACCTTCATTCATAAACATCAGCTAAACAGTAAAAATGAACAATCTGACAAGGTCGATTGTTTCTCCATCAGAGGTATTCCACACTTATCCCCTTTAAATACTGTCTGAAGAGCTTTATCTCGCCTTCTGAACTCCCCTCTCATCCTCATGTGAAAGCGCTTCTGCTCCATATTTTATGATATGAAACAACTCAATGTCACCCTCATATTTCCAAGTCTAATTTGGCCAGGGGCAGTCATTTCTGCAGATGAGTGGCACGCTGTTATGCTCACCTACAAAATCTCATTTCCTCTGTTCCCTGATTGTGAAAGGCAAAGATTAAAAACTTTTTCGTGGGATTGCTGTGATTGTTTTGCGGAGCTAACAAAACTAATTAGTTTTCAAGTAGTGCAGGGGACCAAGTCGCTAATAGAGCGCTGAGGGTGTCTCCAGCTGTGACGAATGACTTCAACGTCTGTCTGCACTTTTGTCAAGAACATTTTTATGTTCTGTCTGACCTTATGTTCATCCCACTATAGATATCCTCTTTTCTTTTTCTAACGTTTCCTCATGGGCCTCCATATACCGACCCCTGTCATTTCCTGCTGCCTGCCGAGTCTTTCAATCTGTGATTAATCTGACCGCACACAAACACACGCACAACCTGGAGTGTGTTTGGATGTCTGTGTCCGTGTGTTGGATTTGTATGCACGCATGTATGTAGTTGTGGTTGCATCTGTGCACAGACATGTCCACAGTTTGTCCACAGACACTCCTCTATCCTTCCGCCCAGACGCTCCGTGTGATGGATTCTAGCCGTGCGGTGAATTCCTGATAAAAGAAAACCATGTCAGTGTTTCCACTGCCGCCGATGACTCTGGCTCTTATTTCAAAAGCCACTTTATCAGATGCTGCGCGGCTGTGAGAGGAGATAAAAATCATCTTTAAAACTTCACCATGAGAGGAATATTGGAAGTGAAGCAGCAGAGGGAGGAAATAAACGAGAGAGAACCGGTGTCAATCATGCTGCTTCTGTCTGTGTCAGCGGGTATCGAGTAACTTACCTCACACCCCGACGGTGGCTGGAACAGACGGGAGAACTCACAGTCTTAGTTTCTCTCTGAACTCAACTGGCCGAAACCCTGTCTTTGTCTTTCTTTATGCCTCTCATGCTCCTTGTGTTTCCTTGGCTGTCGTTATGTCTCTTTAACTTTCTTTGACTGCTATAAAGTGAACTTCTGCAGTCCCGCACGAACGTATATATAAAGACACATCATAGGACAAAAGAGACCATTGTCCCAAGCTCTGATCTGGGAGATTTTATTAGTCTAATGAAAATCTTTTGATTCTTTCTCAATAGAATCATTAATTGCTCAGTCCACCTGTTCTCAACCAATGGTCCGGAGACTTTAAAGGGTCCTTGAGGGAGTTCCGGGGCATTCCTACAAAAATAGGAACTTGTTTGTCACTATTCAATTCACTACAGAGGTGAGCCCAATGTGAGTAAGAGTCACAAGATTGACAATTCTGATCAGAGGTTTCACTTCCTCTGTGGTTATTATCTCCGCCAAGGTTATGCTTTAGCCGGCGTTGGTCTGTTTGTCTGCAAAATAACTTGAAAAGTTCTTAACGGATTTTGATGAAATTTTCAGGAAGGGTTGATAATGGGACAAGGAACAGATGATAATTTTGGTGGTGATCAGTTGAAGCGAAGTGGATAAAATAATAAAATGGCGGGAAATCCGAGCTGCTTGGCGGAGGTCTTCGCTCTCCGAGTGCTCTCAAACTGTAGTTGACAGCAATGGTGCCATACACATGCTGTGTTTTTTGCACCTTCAAGTTAATTGTTATCATTGTAGACACATGGCAGACGTGCTCAAACGCCAGAACGGTGCACACATGTTCCCAAGCACCCATTTTTCAGGCCGCGACGGCTGCCCTTAGAGATAAACCGAGTTCAACTGTTGGAAGGCAGCAGTGCGTACCACATGTCATGTGATGAGGAACAACCAATCGCAGCCAACAGATATCTTCCCTAGGACGTTATGCTCACACACTTATAAACAGTATCTGGAAGGAGATCAGCTCTGCATTCAGGATTTCAGGTAAACGGGATATGGTACCTCAGATACGCAACCTCAGATGCAACCTGCTGCGGGGCTCTTAGCACAAAAAAGGCACAAAAGTAGCGTCCAGCGCTCGTGTTTTCCAGGAGTTAACACTGCGGCATATGTACAGCCCCTATAGAATTCTGGTAACGGGGCTTTCAAATCAGGATCCCAAGCCCGGATCCCTAAAGTCCACTTCATTTGATTTGTGCAAACATTGTTTTGTACCAGGGCCCAGTTCATGTGCACTCTGGTACGGTTTGCATCAGGTGTGAACACCAACTGTACCAAAGCACGGAGGCGGGCTGCTATGTAACATGTCCACAATGAGTTTTTAACCAGTTACACACCAGTCTCATTTCAATACTGATGCCTCTATCTCAGACGGCACTCATGGTGAGACCCAGATCCGGCCTCACTTCCAACCTGCAGGGAGGTGGAGAGCTCCGAGCCCGACTGCAGCAGCTCCTCCTCCTGCCAGGAGCAGAGCTTCAAAGTGCTGCTCCGCCATTCACAGGGCAGCAGCGTCCATCTGTGGCCTTTTCTAAACTGTAGCACGACAAAAATGTCACGTAGATGATGATGCAAGTACTCAGAGGAGGGGAGAGGGGACACAATCATAATCACACCTAATATGAAAACATCCTTAATCACATTTAACAATCAAAATCTTTTCAGATGGAGGTCCTTGAAGCAAAATGTTATCAGAAAGCAGCAAATAATGTCATGTCTTCAAACTGCTTATTTTGTTCAACCAATGGACCAAAAAAAAAGAGATGAAACAGCAAGTTCATCATTTGGATGTAGCCAAGAGTCACGGAAAATTTCCACCACAGTCACTAAATCAGTGTACAAGATATATTAAACTGCAGGTAACCATAGAAACCATACATATGTCTCCCGCTACACTGCAATTAACTTGCAGCTGAAACCGGCCCGACTACATATGTTGTATGGCGACATATTCAAATCCATCAACTGTTGTGACAAACAAGCTGTTCTCATTATTTCTATGAATAACTTATTGCTCCCGACGCCCCGATACAATCAGAGAAAACCAAAGCCGTGTAGAGACGGTGTTATCTCTGGGATGTTGTTGAAAGATCAGAGCTGTGTGTAAAACCCTGCCATGCGCAATCGAGTTATAATTGACG